GGGAAAGGAGCCGCGTGCCGCGGCGTCAGGAAAAGAAGAGCAAACCCTGTCATGGAACTTAATTGAAGGAGCCGATGCTCCCCAAGCGATGCTTTCTGGTGTAGATACGGCTGTGCATGGAGCGCATCCGTGTGACGCGGGGCGGGGGCAGGCCCCCGCCAGAGGCTGCTCCGATGCCTGGGACGCGTGGGCCGTCCAGGGCCCGGCTGCTTCCTTGTGGCTCAGGGAGGCGCTTGTCCTGGGCCGCACGGGCGAAACACACAGGACGGTCGGCCTTCTCTCGCTGCGTGGCTGAAGCCACTGAGGGTGCCCCACTAACACCCTCCCCCCGCTGCCAGGGGCTGCCGTCCCGGTCTGGGCTGCACAGCGCTCCTGCGCATCGCCCAGGGCGCGAGCGGAAGCTGCCCTCCGTGGTTTCCGAGTTCCTTGTTTCTAAAGGCCCCCTCATCACAGCCTCACCTGAACACAGACAGGTCGGCTGTCCTTGGACGCCTGGATCTCTGTGTTGAGAGGGGAAGAGGGCATCCTGAGGGGCCATGGCCCAAAACCCAGATTTCGTGCTGAGCCCACATGCCTAACTGGGGATTTTCTGCAGATAAAAAGCAGCCCCCCACACATGTGATTGATGTGGGTGAAGACTCCGTGGATCCACCCTGAAAAACGAATGACCTCACAGGCTTTGGCACTCCGATTCCCACGCCCTGCAGCTGCTGAGCCCGCCATCAGGCAAGCACAAATAAGAGCAGCGCATTATCCATCTCGCTGGATTCCACATCCGTTCCGTCCTACGTCAAATACTTGGGGGCATTTGTATAAAGCACCATGTTCACTGGTGACATTGAATTCCACCTGTGAAATGCAAATTAAGCTGCCCAAGGCAAATTGTATCGCTTTGGGAATGGGGGCATTAGTGAACAGGAAGGTTCTCCCTCCCTCCCTCGCTGAAGGACCCCCTTCCAACATACAGAATCCCCCCCCCCTTCCTCTCTGTGCGTGGATTATCGTCCACATGCCGGGAGCACTGAGGAGCCGACTCGATTCCAGAAAGGGATGAAAAGAACGAGGCCACTGTTGCTCAGCAACCCTTCCCGGCGATCAGCCGCACGGTTGCACTTCGGCTTGCAAAGTCTTTGCAGGTCCTGTGTCGCATCCCTTGCCAGACTTCTGGGGGCGCCGTCTTTTCTGGAAGCGAAGCCCTCCGGGACGTGCAGGCACCTTCCGTGCGAGCTGAAAAGGTGGCCACGCTGACCCGCCAGCCTGTGTCCCTGGCCCCCTTCACCTTGCCGTGTCCTGCTCTGCCACTTCGAGAACCGTGGCGCCAGTCTGCAAACCGGCATCCTTCTGATCTCCTCATGAAGATCAGTGCGGGACCACCTGCAAGCACCGCGGAGTCGGGGCCACGATCACTCACAGGATGCCTTTAAATACTCCCTGTTCGGGAAACCAGGGCGGGGAAAGAAAAATGGTTTTGGTGCACAGATGCATCCACAGCAATGAAAAACGGGCAGCAGGTCTTTTTTGGATCTTTGGCTTGGCTTGGAAAAAAATGACATCTCCAAATAATCTGCCAGTCGATAGTCCTGTGGCTGAACACACTCCCATATCCAAAGAAGGAAATTTTGAATTTTTAAAGGAAATCTGTCCCATCCAGAATCTTGGAATTTAGCAGATCTCAGCAATGCTTCCACTATAAACCAAGCACAAGTGCAGACACGTTCAAATTCCACCACACTAGTGCTGTTATCTCAGCTGTATATTGTCATTGTGCATTGTCACTATATATTGTTATATGTTTCTGTATATTCCTGGTTTATTGTCATTATTTTATTGTTATATTATGTTTTTACTCTGTTTTCATTGTTATAAATTGTTTTGCTATAATCTGCTTGGAGAGTCTGGTGGGACTAGTAATGCAGAATATTAGATAGATATTTTGTTTAGTGCCAAGTTAAAGTTGTGGACAAATGTAAGATTCTTAACCCTCAACCTGAATTTAAAACAAACCAACCCAACAGGTGCTGCTTTTGGAATGGCTTAATAACCCCAGGAGAAGACGCAAACTCCTAAAAACCTTTGTTCTGGCTAGTGCTTATCCCCAAGGGTTGCAATCAGTCTAGGAATGGCTTCACCGACAGACACAGGTAATTTATGTTTAACACTTCCTGAAGACGTGCAAACTGAGAAGGTCCACACGACCAAAGCCGGCCCACTGACCTACTCTGCCCAGCACGGCCTTGGCCTACGAACTTAAAAAAACCCGTAGGCTGACCTTCCCTCAGTGGCTTTCCAGTCTGCCTGCTGGCAGCTTTAGCTCAGGCCATTATTTTTAAAATGAGAACAAGGCGATGCGAGCTGAACTTCGTGCTGGGCCTTCGCGGGGTGGGGGCGCTGTCAGGGGTCACAGAGTCCTCCCAGCCAGCTATTTCTATGCAACTTCAGGAATGACTTTGACACCTCAGGCACTTTTATTTTTAAAACTGTAAAAGGCAGGCAGCTGAAATGGGGGGGGGGGCACATTTTAGGCCATGTGACAATGCGATAAAAGAACAGGACTACTTGTGTGTAAGTCACGGTACAGAAGGGGCGTCTCAGGTTCTACACTCGTCCCGCAGTGTGAGATGGTGGGCAACAGGGTTTGGTTTGCACCATGCAGGCTCATGACCGAAAGCCGCGGTTCGATGCAATGCCTCCGATTCCATATGGCTAGGCAGCAGCCGGAGGAGAGCAAGGGCTGCCACGGTGGGCGGGGGAGCGGATCGCACGACTGGGCTCCGCGGGGCTGGTCCCTGCGCGCTCGCGAGGGGAAGCGGCCCCCAGCCTTGAGCGGGGCTGCCATTTGGGGGAAGCGAGGCCAGACTCCTCGCTCCAGATCTGGACCTCAGCCTGACCACCGCCCTGGGCTCGGGTCCACGCCAAGGGCGCCCTCCTCTGGCCAGCCCCCCCATCACCCCTTCTGCCTTGCCACACTGAGAAAGACGGCACTTGCCCAGACGCAACACTCATGGGATGCTTTGCCACGCGGTGCCATGATGACCACGCACCTGGACCGCTCGTGGAAGCACTGGGGAAACTCGAGAGAGACAGGCCGGGAGGCTCTCGCTGACATGGAAGCGGCAGCCTCGCCGGGGGGGGGGGGGGCAGAGGCAAGCCATAAAGTGGGGCTGCTACCTGGAACAGGAAGGGGCAGGAGGGCCCCAGGGAGTGTGCGCCACCCCACGGTTCAGGATCAGTCCTTGTGATCTCTAATCAGTGACTGGAGTGCAGAGGGGACTCCCTGCCCCTTTGGCCCCAGTGGGGTGAGAGCTCAGTAAGGAAGTCCAAACAGTTTATGGGCCCGGTTTGGCCTGCAGACTGGGGCGTCCCCTCCCTGCCTCCCTCCCTCCCTCCGGGGCTTCAGGAGGCCTCCTGAACGCTTCATGTGCCACAGCAAGGAAACCCCTGTATTTTGACAGGGAAGGGAGAGGGGAAATGTCTCCTACCCTCTGACTTGCTACATGCGTCAGCCAGGCAAAGCCCTGCATGTTACCAGGCGTGGCACCCGCGGAGGAGGAGCGCGCGTGCAGGGGGGGGAGCGTCTCCTGGAGGCCCCCAACACGCCCGCGGAGGCAGGAGCGGAGCAGAGCAGGCGGCGTGCTTGGCTGTGGGGCCCTGTGGCCTTGTCACACAGGCCGTTTTTGGGGTAAATTAAAGGGCACACGTGGGCGCTTTTAGCCCTGCGCATTCCTGGAGGGCCTCGAGACCCATCCCCTGGGTTCACAGCAGGGCCACGGTGGCCTGGGGAGGAGATGCCCAGAGCACTCGCGGCTGCAGGAGGGACATGGCAATGACACTGCAAGAGCACACCCTTTCTAGGTTTCCTGACAGATGGCATTATGTTGGGAGATCCACAGGATATTTCCCAATATTTCTGTCTGCCATGCACTCTATGATGCTAATATGATCTCCCTTCCCTTTATATTCCCACTAATGATATTAGCCAAAACAATTGATGAAACCATTTCAAGAGACACCAAATTCCCCTCAAGATGATACAGACAAAACAGCCACTCTTCCTGATTCCTCTTCGGTGAAGGAAGTCCAGGAAGGCAAAACCGAAAAATCAGTGCTATTTCTGCAAGGTGGACGTGCAAACACACATGCTGGCGCATCGTTTTTTCTTACAGGAAGAAGGGGAAGGGGCCGGCCGTATGCCATAACGGGAGACTTCTCTCAGGGACACACACGTGGTAGGTCACCTGCAAATGCGCTGCTTCATTCTACTAGGCTGGTCTACGTGCAGGTTTCAGTTTTCATGGAAGGTCAGTTCCTGCCTTCCGTGCGAGGAGGAAGCTCCTGCTCTGAGCAACCCTTCAGAAAGAACATCCCGTGCTCCGCCTGCGGAAAGGCTCTGCTTGCAGGAGGCCCCTTTGCCCGGGAAGCAGCCCGGCCGGCCCCCGTTTCAGGCCGCTTCCACGCCTCATCCAGCAGCGCACTGACGCGCCTCCCGCAACGGGCATCGCTAGGGAACCGGCTACTCAGAAACCTTCCTCTCGCCAAGGGCCGGTCGCTCACAGAAGCTGAGCAGTGACACTGGGGATGCGTCGAAGCGCCACAGGGCCGCCCCATCTCCCGCTTGGCCCAGTCTGGAAGGCAAGCTGAGCCGACTGGAAGTCTGCAACACTCTCAGAGGGAAGGCGGTGCAACCTGTGGCCGTCTTCCAGGCCACGTGCCGCAGGGCAAGCGTCCACACAGGGCCCCACTCCTGGGGTGAACAGCCCTTCCTCGGGGTGGCCACGAGCACGGGGCTCGATTCCTGGCAAGCGCCATCCCTGCGCTGGGCGTGCTCACCAGGAGCTCGGACCTCGGGGGGGGGGAGGGGGGGGGGGGGGGGGGAGAAGCTGAGCCCAGTCCAGGGAGGCCAAGGGGGGACCGACCGCAAAGCCGAGTCTTCACGCCTCCCCAACACCCATACATCAAAAACGTACAGCAGGCGAGTTCTGCAACTCCCATTGACCAAGTGCTGCTTTCGGGATATATTTTAATTGTTTCCTTATTTAGCACCCCACAAGATGCAAAATGAGAAAAATCACAGTGCAGGCGAAAAGCTGTCCCCCACCTCCGCCAAGGGGGAGCCTGCCCCTCCCTGCATGGCCCTGGATGGTCCCTCCAAAGCAACCGAGCCCCGCCGGGCGGCCCCTTATCTGGCGCTCGGTCTTTCCGATGGAGGGATGAGAAGCACGTGGCTGAGCCCCTCCGCGGCTCTGTGCATCTTCCGCCTGGCCTCTTCCTGCCGCTGCTCCAGCGCCGTCCTCAGGGCTGCCTCCTGCTTCCTGAGCTCCCGGATAACATCCGTGGCAGCCATCCCGCCCGCCGCTGCTGTGCCGGGTGCCGCTGACCTCCCGGAATCCATTTTGCTGGCTGTTGGTCGCTTGCCTTTAAATACAAGTCTGTAGGGACCGTGTGGCGCACGGATGCTACAGGCACCATGATGACATCCAAGGCCCGAGAGTTTCAGCTTCGCGGCCTCTTGTGCTTCCTCAGCAGCCAGACGGAGCTCCCCATCTCCCAACTGGTCCTGCTCTCGTGCCTGGACCTGCGAAGGGAACACGGGATCCGGGCCCACAGTGCATGCTGCAAGTGCGCAAGGATGGAACGGAGCCTCCCTGCCTACTGGGGAGGGCAGGCTGAAGCCCCCGCCGACCCAGGGATCTGATCCAGGCTGCTCCCTCCCTCACCACGCCATCTGCTCTGTGGTCTGTTTCCCAGTACTAAACCTCTGAATGGGTGCATCCACTCCCAGGCGTTTGGTGGCATATGATGGGGCGGGTGTTCAACGTTGGGTATTTTGAGTCCTGGGATCATAGCATAACTTTTTAGCTGCCTGAAATTGTTTTTAAATTTTGTGTAGCAAATATTTTACATTATACTTTATTTAAAATTTACATGAAATTACTAAATTTCATGTAATTTTGTGACATGAGAAGGCGAGATACTCCAGAGAAGACCATTATGCTAGAAAAGTTGAAGGAAGAAAAGGAAGGCCAAAAAGGAGAAAGATCAGCTCCAAAGGAGGCCGGAGCCTGGATTCTCCAAGAGTTGAGCAGGGCTGGGAAGGACGGGGCGTCTGGAGGGCGCTTGTCCACGGCGTCGCCAGTGGCGCAGAAATGAAACGAACAACGAACACAATGAAACTCCGATTCAATCAAGCTGGACGTCTACCTGGCCTTCAAAGCCACGCTTACCTTTCCAGAGCAGCTCCGCTTCCTGCACGTTGCGCGTTCACGCAGTTCACCACGAAGAGTCGCTAGATCTTTCCTGCATTCCGCAAGTTCCTCAAGAATTCTGCTGATGCCACAGCAACCCAGGTCAGCGCTTGGGAGGGGGGAGCCCTTGTCGCCCACCGTATGGAGCTGTGCATCGCCGGCCTCGGAATCCAGAACAGTCTCCTGTGGAGAGGGGAGGGGAATTCCAAAGATTCCACATGCCGACAGAGGGCCTGGCCCCAGCGCCCATCCCAGAGCACGGCAGGACCGTGCCAAGAAGGAGCAGCCATCTGATGTCCAGCTCTGGAAAAGACCTCTTTTCTCTGCAGCCCAGAGCGAGCACAAAATGCACCCCGAGCACTGAGCCGTACCATCCACTGCCAGAAAACCAACTCCAGGGGCTTCCACTCCAGAAAGGCCTCCAGGCGAGCGCTCTCCGATTCCACGGACTGCAGCAGCTGGACAGAAGGGAAATGCGTCTCAGGGAAGGGAGCTGCTGGGAGGCTCGTGAATGCGAGGCATGTGGAAGTCAATCAAATCACCATGATACGCCTCACATGGCAGAGGGTCCCTGACCGGACCACTGGAGCACAGAGCCCAAATTCTGCACAGCAGCCTCAAGGTTTTGCAGCCAGATATTTAAAAAGCGACTCGTTACTGATCCGAATGAGATTCTGCATGTAAGCGGCCCTTTCCAGCACTTCACAGACAAAGCTGCCATCTCCAGACAAGATCTGCAGCAGACCAGGGAGCCAAGGCTCCAGGAGAACGCCTGGGGCCACCCCAGCAGCCCACAGCTCAGCACTCTTCATGCTCAGCTGCACGGCAACAACAAGCCCCACAGACCGCGGGGCTCCCCAGTGCTCCTCGACGCGCCAGCGCTGTCCCTGTGCTGGGCCGTGCCGCGTCGGCCGGCAGCTGGGGCACGCAAGGCAGCGTGTGCCCTGAACCCCGCACCCCTGCTCGCCGTGGCAGCAGCCTCCCGCTTCCCAGGTGCAAGGGCGAAAGAGCACTTTCCCAGAACGGGAGCCTCCCTCCGTGCGAGGCTCCACAAGCAAACTCCCGGCGTCCCACCGCTCCTGTGAGAGCCAAAGCAGCATGCGCCGATGCGAGAGCGGAGCGAACCGAGGCCCAGCCGCCTCAAGGCAACCGGTGTTCTCACAGCGCAACAGCCCTGAGCAGCACAAACTACCCCACGTGTTCCACTATGTAATTTTTGGCACCAGGTGAAAGCCTCTTTATTTTCCCAGTATTTTAATAGTTAACTTTTTAACTTTAGTTTCGACATTGCATTATATCCTGCATCACTGCTATACCTCTGTGTTGATTTGGTTTCAATTGCTGTGGTTGTATTATCTTACACTGACTGTTTCTTTCTCTCTTTCTTGTGTGTTTTTAACTTGTGTTTACTGCCCAGAGAGCCTTGGCTATTGGGCAGTATAAAAATTAAACAAATGAACAAACGGAAAATCTTCAGAACATTTTCCAGTGAAAGCTTAAACAGTTCTGCTAAGTTAAACTATCCCCATGATAAAAGATGGCCCCATATGCATCGGTGTGGAATGTCACCCACTTCCAAAAGAAAGAGGGAGAGCCCTGCAGCCCGTAGCTGAATCTTGAAGCATGGGAAGAACCACAGAGCTCATCCCAGTCCGACCATCTCAACTCCAGTTCTAAGGACAAAGGCGACACATGAGGCAGAATTAGCCAAACCTCCCATCGTGGCTCGGCAGAGGATGCGAAAGCACCCAAAGCACTTGAGGGAGTCCTCTCAGTTTCAGTCTTGCGAAAAATTCACCAGGACTGTGGCCTGAGGGTCCGGATTTGCCTCAGAAGGCTCAGCCGGAGCACCGTGGCCCTCCCATTTACAAGCACGCAGTAAGCTGACAGACCTCGGCGGGAGGACAGGAAGCCACCAGGGAGGCGCTCCGTTGCCTGAAGTGCGAAGGGGCTTTAAGGCTGGAAGCTCTTTGCTCCCTGTGTGGCAAACCGACGGCTAAGCAACTCTGTTAAAATTGCAGTAAGACTGTAGGCCAGAAATAGCACCTTCTAAGACCAGCCAATAACCAACTGCCTTCCCGAGGTTATTTATTTGTTTAATTTAAATCCTGCCTTTCTGCTAACGAATGGCTCTCTAAGCAACCGGCTAATAAACTCTGAATTAAAAGCAAAGTATTAAAGAATAGTGTTAAGACAAACGAGTCAAAGCACAGTGAATAAACCATAAATAAGCAGCCCACGCCCCCCCCCCGAAGCCCCCCATACACAGACTAGCTTGCATGCCGAAGGCCTGCCTGGTTAAAGATGTTTTGGCCTGGAAGCAGCCCCAGGAGGCCCCCTCCTCACCAACATGGCCTCCGAAAAGGGTGGCCCTGAGAGAAGGGCTCCCACGGGAGACCTGGAGGCCAGGCAGGGAGGTGGAAGGGCAGGGGATGTGGGCCGTGGGGGCATTTTGGGCAACTCGACCCCGAGTGACCCGAGGCTTTACACATGGGTCATAACTCGCACTCCGAATGTGTGCAGAAACAGATCCCTGCCTTAGCAGGCAGAAGCGGGTGCAAGAGGACCTGCCGGCTTGCCTTCGTCTTGGCCACAGAGGAGAACGGGCAGGCGACCGGCAGCGGCTCCGCGGGCAGCTCACTCCACGTGGCGCGGCCCTTCTGCGTGGCGACGCACGGCCGGGCGGTGGGGCAGGCTGCCTCGCGCGGTGCCCGCAAGTCTGGGGCCAGGCCGCTTCTGCCCCCCCGCCCCGCTCCCCGGCAGCCCCCCGAGGGCAAAAGCGGGGAGGCGGTGCCTCGGGGTCCACACAGCGCCAGGTCACGCGCAAGCCCACCAGGGCCATCCCGAGGGCCACATCCCAAACCCACCCAGGAGCTGCCCCACTGCCTCCCCTGCACGCGTGACCTGGGCATTCACGCTCCTTTCCTGGCACTCGTCTTGCCCGGCTTTGCCAGCTGCCTCACAGATGATTTAGAATCTGAGTATTTTCGCTTTGATATCTTAATTAGAATGATGTACTGAATATATTAAAAAAGAATCCTGTCGCAAGGCTAAAATGTATCCCAGGATTTAAAGAAATTCCACGGGACGGGGCGATTGGGATGTTGAACTACTTGGAGCCACTTAGGCTTTCCGAATTTGCTAAAACCTTTTAGATTTAATGGTAAGGCTTTAACCTGCACCCAACCCTAGGGTTGAAATCAGGAGGAAAAGGAAGTTAAACGAGAGTGGAGACTAGGCTCCCCTTCTCGCGCAAGAGCTGCCACGAGCCCTCGGGACGCCTGTGCGTTGCTTGGAGGCCCTTCCTGAGGCTGCAGCGCAGGCCCGAAAACAGCACTGTTTGTGAGCAGGAGCGCTTCTGAGTGCTCCCCCGGGAGCAGCTTCTATTGACAACGTACATGGTTCATCGTTCATCTATATTGCTTCTTTCAATGCGGTCCATGTTTTTGTTGCCACAGGTTGCTTAGATGGGCTGGTGTGGGGGCGACCACGCCAAACGTGCTGGTCCAGGAGTCGGCTGAGGAGTGTGGGACCAGCTGCTCTACTGAAACTTGACACGCTGCACCAGGTCCCTTCAGCCGGAATCCAGGCTGCATCCTATGGCTTCCTTCACAGGTCAGACAAACTCTTACTTGGTCAACTTTTGCCGTCAACTCTCCCGGCGTGACTGCCTTCCCCAGAGGGTTTTACGTTCTCATGATGTGCCCAAAGTAGGACCGTCTCAGTTTGGCCATTTTCGCTTCCAGGAATTGAGTTCTGAGGTTCCCTTTTGTTAGGAATTGTCTCCGAACCAAAATAAAACCTACCAGATTCTGGCAGGTTCCAGTTGACGAGGCAGCGTCAGAATCAAAACTGGGGTTAGCAAAAGATTTTGCAAGGTGAAAAGCCTCCCTCGGGCAACAGAGCGGGACCCTACATGGCAAGCACACTTCACCTGTCCTCAAGGAGGCAGCGGCATGACCATGCCCAGAAGCCCCAGCCTGGACTCAACTGTATCCGGTCGCTACCGCCCAGAAGCAAAAGCTAGCCCCTCTTTTAAGGAAAAGTACTCGAAAGGGGGTAGGGGAGCAACACTGGGGTCTCTTGGAAGATGCTGATTGTCGGGAGCCACTTCTGTCTGGATTTTGGCCAGTGACAGGACTGTGTCAGCCACGGGTGACCTTCATCAAGAGACAAGGGGGTGCACCTGCCAATTCCGCCCACTCACTCATCGGGTGCTGATACCATTAGCCAAGGTGTCCTCGTGGATCGCCTCTGGGCTGGAGGGGAAGCACGGTGCTGCAGGGGCCCCCGTCTTCCCTGCAGGGTGGATTCTGGAGAGCAAAACTGGGGGGCTGTGTCTCAGATCTCTGGCAGCTGAGCTCTGGGGTTCCGCCAGGTTCTGTCCCGTCCCCAGAGCGACGTGACATCTTTGCGCAGCTGCCAGGAGCCTTCTCTGGGGGATCTGGACCCAAGTGCCATCAGCACACCGATGACACCCAGCTCTGCCTCCCTGGGGCAACTGAAGCAAACCCTAGCTCAGCATCTGAGCTCAGTGATGGGCTGGACGAGGGCCAAGAAACTGAAGGTGAATCCTGGGAAAATGAAAGTTCTATGGGCGCGCGATCGCAGAGTCTGCAGGGTAACTCTGGATGGCGCTGCACTCCCACTGTTTCCTGGACCTGGGGGACTCCAAGGTCCATTGCGGTTTCTGGATGCCCAAGTCCTTGCGCGGAGGGCCCGTTACAACCTCCAGCTGGCTCAGCAGCGACTGCCTCTCCCGACAAGGATGGCTTGGCCCAGCGGTGCAAGCGCCGGCCATCTCGAGACTGGACCGCTGCAATGTACTCTCTGCAGGGCTGCCCTTGAGACTGCTCCCAAAGCTGGGGTTGGCGCAACAGGCAGCCGCTTGGCTTTTGCCCCTGTCCAGGCTCCAGCTCCCTTGCACGAGCACTGAACTACTGGGACCAGGGCAACTGCAAAAGCGCCTTTGCCCGACCCGCCCAGCCACTACGCTCATCGGAGGACCGTCTCCTGGAGGTTCCTCTGGGCTTCGTTTCAGTGGCACTCCGGGGGGGGGGGGGGGGCAAGCAGCTGACAACACGGTGTTTTTTTCTGCTCCTGGACAAAGGAGCTAAAATCACTCCTTCCAGGGACTGTTTCCTTGCTGACCAGCTGTGGCCTGAATGTCACTTTGTTTTTAAGTGTTTTAATACAATGCTTCTACTCTTTTATTTATTTCAACATCCTGGGGTTCACTGCTCTAGAATGTGTGGATCTGTTTGGATGCAGTGTTACAGAAATACTGCAAATAAATAAATGAGCCCACGCAGGACCTTGTTGTATCCAATGAAAAAGTAAAATAATGTTGATCTACTGAAGTAGCGGCATACCTTTTAAAAGGTCTTGTACCAGCTTCACAGACATAATTTAAGGCCAGTTAAAACACTGCATGGCAGTTTACCCCTCTTACACATATAGCACCATTAAATTAAATAACATGCTATGATTCTAAGCCACTAAGGCCATCTGTGAGAGGTAAGCATATCAAAGCTAAGGACTGGAAAGGACTGGGAGGGGGAACGACAGACTTCCATATAAAAGAAGCTTCACATATTGTCACCAGAGAATATAATTGCTGCACAGTCTAAGAATTAATGGACTGGAGTATCATTTTTCAAGAACCAAGGAACTCTGCATGCTTGGCCAATAAAATGCAGAAAGTAATAACTCTTTCTTGAAGCTTTCCTTAAAACGGTGACAGCAACCAGAGCTCTGCAGCTCTATTAATCCTCTTCCCGGTATGGAAAATTTTCACTACGGACACATCTCGGAGACAGACGGCGGCCAAGGGAAATGTTCCGCTCAAGGAAGGATGCTATGAAGCAGAATGACCGGCTCAAACATTCTGAGCGTGCTGCCAGAGCCTCCCAGTGGGGCATTAATTGCAAGCACAAGCTGCCCAGCCTGGAAAGGAATCCTGAAGAAATAGATCAGGATTCAGAGCTGCCATGGACAAAAAGCATCCTTCTCAAATAAGAGGAATGTTCGAACCAGATGCCCTGCCGGGAGCTGAGGAAACTGGTGTAGTGGTGAAGCGTGCAGGACTGGGACTCCGGCACTCTGGGTTCCTGTCCTGACTCAGCCATGGAGCCAACGAGGGCTCTGGGCCAGTCCAGCCCCTCAGACCAGCCTACCTCACAGGGTGGCTGTTCTGGGGATAAGACTGAGAGCCGCAGGACGAGAATGACGTGAGCCACTTTGAGTTTGTTATCAGAAAAAAGTAGGATATAAATCTAACAAACAAACAAGGAATTGTATAGAAAACAGAACTGCCAAGATCATACTCCCTCTTATACAGAACTTTGGTATGACCACAGTTAGAATATTGTGTACAATTCTGGTCACTGCACCTGGAAAAGTACATTATTTTGTTGGCAAAAGTACAGAGAAGAACAACTAAAATGGTGAAGGGGTTGAAGCAACTCTCCTAGCTCAGAAAAAAGGGGAATAAGGGGTGCTTAAAGTTATGCATAGTTTGAAAAAAGTGGAGAGGGAGGCATTCTGTCCCCTCTCCCATAATAGTAGAACTCTGGGTTATCCCACAAAGCCGACCGGTGGAAGATTCAGGACAGATAAGAGGAAGTGCTTCTTCACACAGAGCATGGCCAAATGACTGAATTCACTGCCACGGGAAGGAGTGGTGGCCAGCAATCTGGATGGCTTCGAAAGCGGACAGGCCAGAGTCATGGAGATGGAGATGGAGGCGGCGGCGGCTACTGAAGGTTACTAGGCCAGCCGGCCATGTGCTTCCGCCATTATCCGAGGCAGCATGCCTACGCACACCAGTAGCCGAGCAGGATGGGTAGGTGGGACTCTGGCATGCCTCCTGCTCGAGGGATCTGGTGGGTCGCTGGGTTGCCACCCTGTGAGCAGAGAGCTGGGCTGGGGGACCAAGCGTCTGATCCCGCAGGGCTTTTAGAATCCATTCCCTGCAGCTGAAGAACACCACACAGAACAGGAAAACCAGCAGCATTCTGCCAGGAGGCCCCGTGAAAGTCGATCAAGTAACCGCCAATCCAGTGTCAAGCAGCATCCAGCGCTGCTTTCATTTAAAGGGTAAATTTATTTATTTACTGCTAGGCTTAGGCTCATTCCAGTGTGAGGGAGCACGGCTGTTTCCTTCGGAATGCCAGGGCACCACCGGCTTGCCAGGAATGCTTCAGGAACATGGGACACCTCATGCCGTTGCTCACGCCGGCAGCCTGCAGAGTACAGCTTGGTCCTCTGCACCCTCTGAAGGGGCCTGGGAGGTTTCATGGTGCAAGCAAAAGCTTTTCTGGAGGGCTTGAACTATGAAGCTCTTAACAACCCATTGCATCTGGGTGCCTCTTCAAGGTCAGCACCACAAAAGAAACAACCAGCGAAATGAGCCAGGCCTTGGAACTCTGAAGCAAGCACGTCTCCCTCGAGGACTGAACATTTTTCAGAAAGGCAGTATCCAAAGTCGTGTCGTGTCTTTCCCCACTGAGTTGTGAACACGGCGACAGACCCAGAGAAGACGTATTACCTGCTTGTAGTTTTCTGGTTGTCTCATCACATCTACCTCTGTGGCTGAGAAATGGCCAATCATGGGATTGGTGTGAGAGCCAATTGTACAGGAATGTATCTGGAACACAGAGATGTAGATAACACATTTAGATCTCTGTAACGTCTATACTGGGTACTGCTGGGCACGATAGATGGCAAAAGAAGAAGGGGACGGCAGAGGATGAGGTGGCTGGATGGAGTCACTGAAGCAGTCGGTGTGAGTTTGGGTGGACTCCGGGGATGGTGGAGGACAGGAATGCCTGGAGGAATGTGGTCCATGAGGTCGCGATGGGTCGGACACGACTTCGTGACTAACGACAACAACAACAACGTCTATACGCACAGCCCATCAGGGCATCACTAGTCCTACATTGTTTGGGGCTAGCAGATTCCTGGAAGAAAATGAATTTGGACACAAAAGCAACCAGCATTTTTTCTGCTTTTTCCCTGATGGGTAATTTAAGGAAAGGCATCATTAGAAAGAAACCGCTGTTCAGCATTCCAACCGTTGTGCTGACGTTTCAGTTTGGGGAAAGAAGAAAAAAGAGTGTCACGGGCTGAACCTCATGGCATCTTGAAAAACCAATCAAGAAAGATGTAGAGTGACAACACCGACAAGTTCAAACAAACCTCCCACCTTCCGAGCACAGACAGCAGACTCTGGCTGCCGGAGCATCAGAAATGAGAGAGAAGCTGCAGAGCAGGGATGCATCAAAAAGGGACGTTATCCCGCAGAATGCTTTTCTTTCGGTTTCTGCTATCAAACAGACCCCTCTCAGTGGCCACCATCTCTTCTTCCCTGCTAGCCCAGAAAGGGGAAATCTGAGGGCTGCTACCCCTTCACAGCCCTCCCTCTTCTGGAGCAATTACTGCATTTCCTTGACAGCTGCCAAACGCTGCTCAGATTACAGCCGAATGGGAGGGAACGCACGGGCTGCACCGAGGGGGCATCTCACCCAGTCCTTCCTGCACTGCTTGACAAGCTGCATGAGAGGAAGAACATGCACCTCACTCCATGCAGTGCAGTGCGGATGGTTGGTGCTCCCGCTCGGGGCACACGGAAATCGAGCTGCACACTCTACCCTGCAGCTCCTAATACAACCAGGGATATGCATGCATTAACGACTTTACGTCCATAAATCCCGTTAGCTAGACTGAGGGGAAAGGCTAGCAAATAGTTCAGCGTGAGAAAAGGCGGCAGACCACGTCACCCTACTTATGCCAGCTTTTTAAATGTCCTAGAAGGTGGGAGGGCGTCCCACGCTGGTCCAGGCACCATTCATCTGCCGGGACAAGCATTACTCTCTGCCTGCAGTGGGAAAGCTATTCGTCACACGTGTAGGGCATGCTGGGCCTAACTTCACAGGCAGTGCTACTGTGGCCCCTGCGCGGGAAATCGCGCCTGCAAGCGTCAAGGAAGCCGCTCCGCGTCCCACCTTGTGCAGGAGCTTGCACTGCTCTTGCTGCTCAGCAAGCCAACTCCGCCACTGGAACCGCAGGCGTCCGTATAACCACTGCAGGTGTCGGACGTCTCGCTGGCCTTGCAGGCGTTCTTTCGGAGCCGGCGTCCTCCCGCGATGCAGGCTTCTCAGAGGGCTGTCGCACTAGTATTGGGAGACCGCAACCAGATCTTCTCAGGTCAAGGAAGAGCATACCCATGAAGAAATGCCACCAGGCACCGACCTATCTAGTCTTGCGCCGTCGGCTCCAGCCGCGGCTCCGGCTCCTCGAGGTCTCAGGCAGGGCAAGCCCTTCCAGGTCCTGCTGCCCAAGACGCCCTTTTCTGGAGCTTCAAGTGCAGGTCCTTCATGCAGACAGGAAAGGCCCCTCACAAAGCCACAGCTGCCAGGCCTACGGCATGGCGGGGGCAAATCCCCTGTGGCTTCTCCGCGAACTGCCTCCCTCCAGCAGCTGTCCTGCGCTGCTGCACCTGAGGGAGCAGGGGCTGCCAGGCTCCGCCTCCCTCTCCTCCGCTGGGGCCAAGTGCAGGGCAGCTCCTCCCCAACGGAGGTGGCCTGATGCTTCCTGCCAAGCATGGCTTGGGACAGCGCTTCTACTGGAGCTCACGCACGCGGCTAAAACGTAATGCACTCGACAGCATATGCATCCACTCCCTCTAATTAAACTTTCCTCAAGGCGTTCTGAGAAACCGTCTCTAATGTGCAGCTGTTGCCCACACCAAGCCGGGAAGAAAAAGGCCGTGGGCCGAAGCACACATCCAAGCCTGACATCAGCCCCCAGTATCCCGCTGCTGTTTAAAAGGTTCCTGGCGAAGCATCCAAAAACTCACCACACACACCGCTGCTTCATCCCAAGGCTTCAGCCTACTCAGTGTCAGCAGCTGCTCCATTAAGCCGATTCTGCCCAGGAGCCAGGAGAACGCCAGCAGCAGTTCCCTGCTCCCCCCGGAACCATCAGAAGGAAGCTGATAAAAGTTCCATCTTCTGTAGCCGTGGCTCCAGGCTACGCTTTTGACCAATCTGACGTGGGTTCCTAATTAATAGGTAAGGCAGAAGTTGTTACTTTCCAAAGACCGTGTCCCAGGAGGGTAAAACTTTCAAGGCATTTCACACTGTGAGTAGGCCATGAATTAAGTTCAAGCATAAAACAGCACGGCAGCTTTGCCTCGGGATTTCCTACAACAGGTTTACCAGTAGACCTAGCTGGCTAAAATAAAGCCGAACCAAAGTAAGGCACGGGCAGCAAACTTCTGTGGCCCTGTGACCCCACATTCTCAGACATTCATCAGTAAAGGGGCCACTTACTCCAGGCCCCCTCTTGACCCCTCACCTCTGACACAGAAGGGTTTGAGCCCCAGGAGCCAAAACCATTAGAACCTCAGGGCTGGTCTGTGTCTCCCAATGCGAGCGGTGTCCTACCCTCCATGAATGCACAGGGCTTCCACCGGGCCCTCTTGTGGAAAGTCTGTCCAGCAAGTGGGCAAACTGTGGCAGGAGCTTTGGCCTACAATTCCCATCTGCCCTAGCTGATACCGGCAATGGCAAGACCAGTAGGCCAAGCGTTCTCCAGGGTCACAAGCAGCCCAAACCCCACTGCGGAGGATCTCACACACGTCCTGATCAGAGCATTCCTTAAATGGAACAGCACTGCAGCACTAATGCATGCAGAGAGCAGCAGACAAATGCCACAGTAACAGTGGGAAACCAAATGCACGGGCAGCTTGGGAGTGCTCCTCGACCCAGAGCTGTCACTGGAGTTCCAGGTGGCGGCAAGGAGTGCTTTCCTACGACTTCGACTGATCCAGCAGCTGTGCCCTTACCTGGATGGGCACTCCCTAGCAGCAGTGATGCATGCTCTGGCACCTTCCCGCTTGGATTACTGCAACATGGTCTACGTGGGGCTGCCCTTGAAAACGGTCCGGACACTGCAACTGGTACAGGATACAGCTGCCAGGATGCTGACGGGGACTGGCTGTTAATCTCACGTGACGCCAGCCCTGTACCAGCTCCACTGGCTTCCAGTTCAAGTCCGGGCCCAATTCCAGATGCTGGTTTTGACCTAGAAAGCCCTAAACGGCTTGGGACCAGGATGCCCGAAGGAACGTCTCCTTCCTCACATGCCCTCACGCCCCTTAAGATCTGCGGGAGAAGCCCTGCTCTGGGCACCCTCCTTGAAGGAGGTAAAAAGGT